GGTTAGTAGTTTTTGGAATTCTAATCACTGGAAATAGTGCATCATCTAAACAACAATAGACCTCTTGATGATGTCAGGAACCAAATCTGTGAAAGGGGCCACAATTTTGAAAGACTGCTTCCACAGACCTGAGATGACTCGTTTGAGTTAGTAAATACAACCTTTCATTTCTTGGCAGCAGCTTGTCTGAGATTTGTTAGACCAGCAGGGCGCATCGGCAGTCTCTGTGCCATTCCAGAGGATGTGTGATTGAGGGTTTTTTTTTTTTTAATCAGTATTTCTAAAACTGATCTTTGGCATATCTTCTTCATTATTTTTGCCAATATATTTGCATCATTTCATTATTTAAATTCTTTTTATTAAACTTACGTAATCACAAACCTGAAGGGCTGGTTTTGGCATTTTGATACATCTATTAAAATAATGTTATTTTGCGCATCATGTAAAATTGCCATGGGTACCACTCAGAGTGTGCTTGTTCATTACGGAGAAACTCTAATCTCAGCCTTTTACTACATGGAGTTGACTACTGCTAAAGGCTGCATTAACCTCTTCAGACCACAGCTTTCTCCATGTAATAAATAATAGCTTTGCTGCTCCATTAAGTACCTCTGTAAGAACTAAGGTCTGTTATGCCTCCAGAAATTCTTGGTTACTTGTATATTAAAATCTCTGTTAATATTTGGGAAAAGCCTGGAAAACCTGTCATATGAACAAACTTCAGTTTGCTAAAGTACTGCATTGGTAGTTATGGACTTGTTAACACCAGTGATCCTGGGGAAGAAATTAAGATTTGGGGTAAGGCACCCCTTCTCATCACCTCCAAACTTACATGATGAAGTTTGTCACTCTTTCAGTTAGGTTAAAAGTGTTCCAGTGAATAAAAATCATTATAAAAGATTTCAAATAACTATTAACTTCCTTAATACATAGCCTATCCCAACATCAAAAGCATGTTTTTGGAAGTCTCTACAATTCCCAGGTAACTATTCTGGGATGTAACTGGACTGACTGCCTATATTTGCTTTAGAAGAACTGAAATGATCAGTAAACATATGTACCTAGGAAGTTTAACCTCACCCATCGCATTCTCCAGAGGGGAAATTTATTTTCATACCTTATAAGCATCTGTTTACCTTCTGTTGCAGTATGAATGTGAATCTTGCATACATACCTGTATGAAGCCATCCAGAGTCTGGTTCAGTGCTATTCCAGTGACTATAAGAATAATTATTTATAATTTCCCATGACTTTGTTTTCCCTTTCTTTATCTTTCATTCTCTTCTTGGTTTTTATTGTTCCTGTCATTTCACATATTATTTTTCTTCTATTCCCCCCTTATATCCATCTTAAAGTAGGATATATATATGATTTCTGATACCATCAAAGAAGACATTGGTTCTTGTAGCAGAATATACTTATTTGTAGAAGATGTCAGATAAAGCAAGAAAGTAACTTGTTTGGAGTTTGATCAATGGGTTAAAGAGAGCTTGTTGCTATTACATAAACTTTAAAAGTTTGATACTTGGGCGGCGCCTGTGGCTCAAAGGAGTAGGGCGCCAGCCCCATATACTGGAGGTGGCAGGTTCAAACCCAGCCCCAGCCAGCCCGGGTCAGCCCCGGCCAAAAACTGCAAAAAAAAAAAAAATTGATTCTTAAAAGCAATATCTTTATTGTTTAGAAAAGTTTATTATAAAATATTGAAATATAGTTCAGAGATAGACCTCAGAAGCAATTTGCCTATTAGTAAATACCTTTAAAGTGGAAATATTTCTTTCAATAATTATTTATAAACAAAACTATTTTGGGGCCAAATATGTTTGTGAGAATTCTTACAACCTAGACATTACCCATACACTTCTAAACATTGTCTTGATGTATAGAACAAAACCTCATTACTAGCTGAAGTAATGTTTTGAGAAGTCTATATTGATCCAAATTCTATAAAATCTCAATTTACTGAAATAATAAAGACTTCCACGTCTCCTTGAAATTATTCTTTCTGAATAAAGAGAAAAAATACAAGACAGTAAAATAATGTCAGCAATTTAGTTAAATCAATTTTTAGGATACAATCAATTCATTATCCACAGTGCCCTATACCAAAGGCTGGCACACGTCTTTCCGAGTCCAGCTAGATTAATCATGCATAAAAGTCACTGTCCCTTCAGGTCACCCAGAGTTCATGCCTGGCTAATTACAGATATTTTGATTATCAATCTTGTCTACATCCTTTACAATAAAATAGTGTGGTCAACTTACAAATATGTTTGTAATTACTTTAATAACACTTTTGAAGCAAAGAGAATTTAATTTCTCTGTCACCAAAAATAAAAATCAGAACACTAATTTGTAAACATTTTTAAAGTTAAATTTCGTATTTGAGTGGGACTAAGCCTGTAGCATAGCAGAAAGGAATGATTATCAACTCTAGAAATGAATTTTGGAGTTGTATTTAGACATAACCACCAAACAATGCCGATATTTCTCATGGTATCTTTCTTACATTATTTGAGCCCCATAGGTCATGATTAACCATTTATTCTGAATAAACCATATGCAGGTTTAAATAAAGTTTATTCATTTGTCAAACATTTTAACAATCGCTATATCCCAAGAACTGAGGAATGGGGGATCCTGGGGCTGTGCCTTCTGTCAGGGAATTTATCACTCTGGAAGGAGGCAAAGTGCTGAACATACTGTACTGAGATGTTATAAAAGTAGTGAGAACATTCTGAGATGCAGTCATGTTCAGCATGGGCGGCCCATCCATATAGAGAAGGTGCTATTTGAATAGTCACTTAAACAAGGAGAAGGGATTTGCCAGATTTCAGGGGTGAGGAAGTATGCATCCAACCAAACAAAGGGGTAGCGTGTAACAAATCCCAGGAGCTCACAGGATCACGACCTGTGTCAAGAACCCTCAGCAGCTTCTCTGCCAGAATTGAGGAGGTACAACAGTAGGAGGAGCCAATGATAAAATGTGTCAGTTTGTACAGGCGGGAAGGTTCAGGAAAGGGGAGTTGTAAATTTGATTAGAGCTCAAGTACATACAGAGACTTAAATACAGAGTCTTTGGGTTTGGCTTTTATGGCAGCATTGAGGATCTTGGCTGAGCAGGCAAGTAATGGGTGTGGACGTTGGACTGGTGTGGACTCCAAAGTGAATAGGAGGGGAAGCAGCGGCCGGAGGGCACGGTGATGACTCTGTAGTTACTTGTCTGGGAATAAAGGATGGAGAGCATTAGGAGAGGGTGCGTAGCCAGGGTGGGGTGGCCGTCCTCCTGCCATGCCAGCCCTCCGTTTTGGAGTTACTCCAGCACATTGGAAGGCTAAGAGAAAGAGCAGTGTGTGTGTGTGGAGCGAGTGGAAGGTAAAGGGGTCCTGAGAAGGAATGATGCAAGGTGGAAGAAGCTTCACTGAGAGCCAGAGGGGGAGACCTGCCTGGGAAGTTCTGAGAAGTGGAGCCTGAGAAGACAGATGCAGAAAGATTTGTGTCAAGGCAGCCAGGGGAGTTGGTGACCAACCGCTACTGTTTCTGCTTCGCAGTTTTTGTAACATCCAGTATTATCTGCTGTTGATAATGAGAGGAACATGGAGGTAGAGGAACTTGAGAGTGATGAAGTTTTAGAAGAGCCACGGTGTGGAATGAGAGAGGGAGCTGTCCAAGGCTGGGGGAGCTGCCGAGTCAGTAGGTGGGCACACGTGACTCTGGAACACAGTGATTTCTAGAGGCAGTGATTTTTCTCTCTGTGTGTGTGTTTTCCGTGTATGTTTGAGCGTGTTGATGTAATTCATACATGTGTTTATATGAGCTAATTCATGTGTGTTTGTATATTTTGTGCTCCAGAAGCAATTCAGCTCCTGACGTAGTAATTGATCATTTAATTTACGGATGCTTATGAAACACTATCTTATTTTTCATCACAGTGCTAAGCACTGGGCTAAGATAAATAATACTGTTTCTATGCCTGGGAACATACCATCTAGTGGGTCAGGCACATCATAAAATAAAATGCTATGGAAGGAATAGGTTCAGAGGCAATTTCAGAGAAGGCAGTATTGATACGTGGGTGAGAAGAGATGAAGAAGTGACATCTTGGTAGCTTTTTGGAGGAAGTTATGTCCTAGCTGACTTAATGAAGGCTAATGGTTGCAGGTGACACATTTGAAGATGCTATGGAGAAGGACTCACGAGAATTGTGGACCATGTATGTGGTCTACTCTGAAGGAGTCAAGTCATTTAGAAATTCTGAAAGCAGACCAAAGAGTTAAGAAGGTAGATTGCACAGTTATGCCTGGATCTGACTTTCTTTCTATAGAGTCAGGCATTAGGACATGAAAAGTTTTTTTTTTTTTTTGAGACAGAGCCTCAAGCTGTCCCCCTGGGTAGAGTGCCGTGGCATCACAGCTCACAGCAACCTCCGACTCCTGGGCTCAAGCGAGTCTCCCGCCTCTGCCTCCCAAGTAGCTGGGACCACAGGCACCCGCCACAGCGCCTGGCTTTTTTTTTTGGTTGCAGCCATCATTGTTGTTGGCGGGTCTGGGCTGGGGATTCAAACCCGCCACCTTAGGTGTATGTGGCTGGCGCCTTAGCCGGTTGAGCTATAGGCGCCGAGCCGAAAAGTTTTTTATAAACAAAAATATTCTTGAACCCCAAGATGAGTCAGTTCTTTTAATTTCTGTCAAAAGTGTAGTCTTATTGCATTCTTTCCCAAACAGTTTTAGAAAGTTTTCAGAACATTAGTTTTAAAACAACAGTATTAAGCTTAAAAAAGAATTTAAATTCTACTAGATATTTGTGCTTGTTAACATATATGGTTATATTTTATGTTATAATTTTCAAAATTACAAGTATACCACAGGCAAATAGATCATTTCTGGCCCATAAAGAAGTAAGCGTAATCAAATACATTGTCAATTGCTTTTTGAAATGTGACAGTTTTAGTCATTTTCATTGATAACAGTCAGAAAAAAATGTATACTTTTGTTTCTGAAACTAGTAACACATTTTTTGAAAGTTCTTCATTCCGATTGAAAGAGAAAGTAAGTTGTTAAAAGTTGTTAAAAGCAAAAATGCCCTGCTCTGAGGAGTAGTCTTATGGTGCTAATAGATCATTGGGCAGCAGGGAATCCCTCACCCCCCACCCTCTGGCTTCTCTTGGTTGTACTTCTGAAGCATATCACACCACCCAAATCAAATTGCTCACTTAATATTTAATGTTTCTGCGATGGAATCACTTTCTCCCTTGAGGTTGACTTCAGATTTACCAGACAGGCTGACAACACTGCACTCCTTATTTTCTCCACATGACCTCAGCTTCTGCTTTAAAAATGTTGAAATAAAGGATGCTTTTGTTCCTATCTCGCCTGCCTGTGATATATTGACAAAGTGTCTGCCGGCTCAATGGAATAGTTTTACAGTATGAGTGCTGCTTTCAGTGGAGGGGCAGGACTTGGGCTTTAGAAGGAAGTGAATTGGATAGGTCAGGAGAATGTACCATTTGTAAACACCCCTTTCCTTTTTTATTCACGTGTCAGGACAGCAGGAGCAGGCTGTTCAGTGCCCGTCCCTGCACAGAGCCGGAGGGAAAGCAGCTTAGGAGTCAGCTGCAATTTTTAAACCTTGCTTTTTATTCCCCGGTAATGATCTTCAAGTGCTCGGACTTGTCTTAGAAGCTGTTGTGAAACTAACATGGTTTAGCCCACTAACTGCATGTTGGGTAAATTCAAAACCCACATGCTCGTCCTCTTGCAGTGGAATAAGTCACATCTGATGGACATTTTCTGTGCTTATAGCATAGTAATGAACGTCTGACAGGCGCGACCTTTCATAAGACAACCCACACTATTGGCTTTCTGCCCAGAATATTGCTGCAACACTATCTGTGATTGGTTATCTCTCTATCATGCATTGCTTCACAAGGGGAAACGGCCCCTTTTTTTAATAAATCTACGATGGCTGGCTGCAATATGCCTCACTGTAAGTATTTTGTGTGTATGTGTGTGAGAGGGAGAGAGAGAGGAGGAGAGAGAGGCTGACTTGAATATTACTTAGTCTAGTAGCACAGGGCAAGGTTGTGGTACTGTAGGACATCAGTGAAGTGCTACTTAGTAAATCTTAACCTATCTCTTTTTTCTACAGGTTGGTACTAAGAAGTGCCTTTCCTGACGTCTCTGCTGCTTGGAACCGCTTCTAGAGCAGTCTCTGCTTTTGCCTTGCTTGCTGCCAGCTAGACTGTGACGACAGCACATCCACCCTCCACCTCTAGCCCAGACACCCCCATTTCTACTTATAATCAAGAGAAAAGCTCTAAGTATCTGGCATTGCCCTAGGCTGCTTTAGTTTTAAAAGAAAAAGTTTGCTGAAAAAGTAAGATATCTTCTGCCAGGAAATCAAGGAGGAAAAAAAAAATCATTTTCTCGATTTTGCTCTAAACTGCTGCATCTGTCTATGCCAAACTAATCAATACCGATTGCACCACCAAACTCCATTGCAAATTCAGCTGTGAGGAGATTCCCTTTCAGACAACTTTGCTGAAAGCAGCTTGGAAATTCGGTGTTAAAGGGTCTGCCACGTTTTCATGCTTGCATTTTGGGCTCCAAATTGGCACTGGGAAGGGTTTACTGAGAGCACAAGGCTGATTCCAGGCCCTACTTTTAAACGTTCATCTACTTACAATCCTAGTATTTCTCTAAAAACCAAAACATCTTTGAATTAACAGTTTCATGCTGTGAATTTCTAGTGGGAGATCTTTTCCTTGATATTGACAACACAATTTTCCATGTACTTTTAAAGCAGGGAGTGGGGGACAAGTATTTTGGAGGGGACATTTTCATCATCATTTTACAGTTTTATCAGTTCAGTTTTTTTTTTTTTTTTTTTTGGTTGTTACTCTTTTTTTGAGGGGGGGTTGGGTTTGTTGGTTTCACTGAAAAATTTAACTACCTGTAAAATCTAAACATGGCTGTTAGTGTCACACCAATTCGAGACACAAAATGGCTAACACTGGAAGTATGTAGAGAGTTCCAAAGGGGGACTTGCTCACGGCCAGACACGGAATGTAAATTTGCACATCCTTCGAAAAGCTGCCAAGTTGAAAATGGACGCGTAATCGCCTGCTTTGATTCATTGAAAGTGAGTAAACATTATATTGTTTTAAGGATATACAATAATTGGATAAAGGGGATTCGGACATACAGTCCTCTGAGTTTGGAATTGTGGATTGCTTTGTTATACTTGGTGTGTTCTTATTGATGATGTTGGCCTGGAGAACTTTATCAGAAGCAAAAGAATCAAGTCTGGCCAAACTTTGTTTGTTATGAATAACTTTATCAGTTCTTTAAGTCTATGACTTTGCTAGAGCAGAAAGTGTTGACTTGCTTTTTACTTTGTAATTGCAAAGTCAGTATCTGTCTCTGGGAATGGGAAATGCGGATACATGTGTGTTTAACATATGCATCTGTGATACTATATAAGGCCCTGGGGATACCTGAATGAAGATGATGTGTTTTTATTTGTTGGTAAACGTACTGTATTGTTGTATTGCAAAAGAACAGCAGATTTGAAATCAGCTCAACTTGGATGAAGTTTTTACTCTTAATTTTTGACATTCTGAATTTTCTTTTTATTTTGTGGCATGTTATTTCCAAGCCAGAGCCACGCATTTTGTAAAGAAATACAACTAGAAGTAAGGTTCTGAACTGCTGTTTCCGTACCTTACCTGAGGCACAAACTTAATGTTGACTGTGAGTTTTATAAGTAAATAAGTAATGTCATTTGTTGGATATTTTCAGCTCCAAAAATTCTAGGGTGCTTTAACTTAGCAATTTATTTTCTGTTAAAGGTTGATCATTTTCTATCTGTTAGACTCTCAGCCAGAAATGTTAAAAGTTAGCTTTTGTGGCCACAACAATTCTAAAAGATTTACTTCAATGTTTTTGACATTCAAAAATGTCATTAGATTTGTAATTAAGGTATCAAGTTTGGATCTTTTAAAAGATATCATAAGACTAGAAATGTGTTCCTGGATACTTTCAACCTACTTAGTTTAATCAAATTGCTTTTGAATAATGATACCCCGGTTAATTCTTTGAACCTTTTAGGAGGGGATAACTATCACTTGTATGTATACAGAGAAGTAAAAATGTCATAAATACATCTTACCTTGTGAAAAAAAAAATAGTGCTGTAATGATTGCTCTCCTTAATAATATCTATCAGGGTAACTTAGGAGTTAACTGTTTCAGTTCATTGCATCTTGATCCAGTGTGGGCTGCTCACTCTGCTGAAGTTTTTGCCAAAGATTCCAAGGATGTTTAGATTCAGATAAAAAGAAGGTATTAACAAACATGTCTTAAAGTGTTAGATTATTCTTCATGTCATAGTCCTAGAAATCAATAAGCAACAGTTATAAACTACCATTAGGCCTTTTATCACCCTTTCCTTTGAAAGGCGTTGATGGAGGGCAGGATGATGGTACCTTTGTGAGTGGGTGTTCCTGAATTCATGCTGACGGAATTCAGGTGTAATTAGACACTGGGACCCATAAAATGAGGGGCAAAGAGCTAATTACTCTTGTCGGTAACCAGCTGTGTCCATAAGTAACCCTGTTTTGACCCAATTAATAGTAAATCCAATTTTTAATCCTACAGACAGTTGATGGTGCACTGATAACTGCACAATGAAGGACATTAAATTTGGCTCTGACGTTGAGTGGTTTCACAGAAGACCTGCCTCTCTCCAGCATTTGGAAACACTGGGAAACATTAATATTCAGTTGCTATTTTTCTATCTCAAAATATTTTTTTAGTTGCTGCTCACTTGTGGCTATAGAACAGTCTCTTTTTGAGTAAAGCAGCAGCATTGCTTAATGGCATGCTGTGTGGTTTACAGGATTTAACTGCCACATCAAGGACATTTTTTTAACTAACAAATAATTTCAAGATTTTACATTTATTTATGAAGTGAACTCGTTATAGCAGCTAATCAATGCAAACTTTGTCCTTTGTTCTTGCTAAGAGAACATGAATTAAGTCTAAAACTGGGTAAAATATTTTAGATTTGAATAAGAGGAAAAAACCAAATTTATTTATGGTGGAGTTTCTTACTTAGGAAAATAGCTCCTTAAATGCTAAACATAGTGAAACAATGATGAAAAAAATTCAATGAAAACAATTTTGAATATGCAATTGAGTATTCATGTTCAAAAACATGTTTATTTTTTACGTGTGTGTACATATATATTTATAACTGACCACATTATATGATTCTTAATACAGTATTAAGTATCCTACCTTTTAGATAGCAGCCTTTCCTGTATTCAATTTTGTGTCTAAAATAGATCAAAAACATATTTCAGAGCTGCTAAAGTAACCGTATGACTCATTCTCGAAGTTCTGAAATTTGGGAGCGTTACGAGGTTTCCATGCCAGTAACTGCTAGATCATTTGCATTGTCTCAGAATAAACAGAAAACACTTAGAAAACTTGTAATATCTGAATGTCTTTAATAAAACGTGTTCTATGTATTGCTCAAGTCCACAGTCCAGCCTTTTCTGAGTTCTTGAGCCGTGAGATGGAGGTAGTCTGTGTAATCTCCTATTTTTAGAAAGTTAGGAAAGCAGACCAAATACTCTCTGAGAGGACCCTGTGAAATGGCTGTACCCTTCAGCTGTGCTGTCTCAGACTTTGGCCAGGCTCCCAGGTGACTTACGTTTATAGCAGACTTCTAGTTAGAAGACAGGAATTTGTTTCATTTAAAAAACAGAAGTCAAACAGTTGAAGAAAGTGTTTATTCATGTACAAGAAAGCAATTGGCATATTACTAAAGATAAAAAAGAAGGTAGATGGTAGTATTTTGGTTGCAGACTGGTGTTTTTAAGGGTTAAATAATTAACTTAGTTTAAATACAGCCCATAAAAATGCATAATTCTGTATCACAATGTGTTGTTAAGTAAAATGGGAACATGTGATAATAAGGAATATAGTTATAAGAATGTTGATAGGAATGAGCAAAAGTAGTAATACTATGTACTAGTACATAAACTAACAATATATTAAGCACTTTATTTCTCTCATTTAATTTTGCTTTTATAATTGCAGTTTAAATGACACTACTCTAAGAGTATGTGCAATTCGATACTCTTAGAGGCTAGAATTGCTTATAAAGTATAGATTTGGGTGTATTTGCTAATTCAGAAATTCAGAACATTTGAAAATTTTCATTATTTTATGCTAAAGAGGACCTGCCCCCACTGGTTTATGAAAGGGATAGAAAAATATCAACACTGCAGGCCACCATTATTAGGAGGATGGTTTGTTTCATAAATGATGGTCAGATAATCATTAATAATTAACTATTTTCTTTAAAATTCAGAAAGTTAATGTAAAGAATGACTAGTCTTGAATGTATTTCAGTGTCTGCCAAATTATTTATATTTCCCCCTAAAACCTTTCAATATATGGTCAACAGAAATTGACTTACTGCTTATTGAATTTTTTTTTTTAATATCCATTCTTTTTTTAGGAGAAGGGGGAGTATGTAACATTTATGTTTTCTCTCTATTTTCAAAAACCTTAGCAAAAGTCTTTTACGTTTGAGAACTCTAGTAACATTTTCTGTTATCAAATTAAACAGTTTTGTTTAAGACAGTTTAAACTTTTCATTTCACTATATATAGTGCTATCTACCTACCTGTCTATCTATCTATAAATAGCAACAGTGATCAAATTTATCATAGACACATCCGGGATCAGATTCCACTGCACAATGGCATAGAGTCAAGGGCACCGAGGGAACACTTTTAAAGTGGCAGACTTAGCAGAATATGTGAAATACAGAAATCGGGTAGAGGAAGGCAGTCACATAAGGTAAATGAGGGGTAAAAACTCAAAATCGGTAGGGCAAAATCAATCTCCTGTGGCCACATATGGATTAGACGGCATAACTGGACATCATAAAGCAGCCCCCAGTGTGTGGACAGTTAAATTTCAGAATATCCTCCATGGTTAGCACGGCGTATCTTCAACCCAGAAGTTCCCTGTGTTTTTGCTGTTCTTTCTCATCCCCCAGCCTGGACTTTTCTTAGTAATTTTTAAGCTAGTTTAATTGACAATCCTGACAAAGTAGTATCTGCAAGTTTTAGACTAACCAGGCAATTTTGAATTGAGATTTTGATCTCCTAGGTTCCTAGATTGAAATAACTTTTACTGAGAGTGTTGTTGTTTTTGTTTGATTTTTTTTCCCCTATGGGCATCTCTCGTGATATTGAAACTAGAATAGAATTTGTAGCGTATATATGTGTGACTCTGTGGGCACATGTTCATGGTGCCTTACGGTGACAGCTTGACACAGTGCTTCCTTGTTTTATCCTGATGACTTAGTAGTGGAACTGACTGTAAGGCGTTCTTGTGCAGTGGAGTGGTTCATGTAAGAGTTCGGATGTTCCCGTAGCAGAAACTTCACAACTTCATAAGGAAGACTCTGTGAATAATGCTGTGATATCTTCAACTTTGACATGAACCTTTCTTTAACAAAATTCTCAATAGCTGAGCTGCTTTGGTAGAACTAATAACGATGCATTTGCCTGTTTATGCTTCTTATAGTTAGTTTTTTTATTTTTTACAAAGCAAATTTTTAAAGGAGTCCAGATATTTTAGACTGTTGGACACATTTCAAGTCATGTTTTGAATCAGGCTACTTGCAGGCTAATTTTAGAACTAGTTGTTTTGTTTGATGTTGTACAATTTTGGTATATTGATTCTACTTTTTCCTCTTTTAAATCTTGTTTCAGTGGGTGTTTGACAACACTAAAACTGTTTTTAGCCTTAAAGCAAATGTGGCATTGACAGTTGGTTTTAAAGTTTACTTCTATCTGTGACATCTAAAGCTACTCAAAATTCTGATTTCTTTGATTAGCCTTGAAACAATTCCATGCAGCAGGCTATCCCTGAGTGAAGACAGCCAGTGCAGGGAGGTGTAAATTTTTTTGTTGCGAGATGTGTGACGTATGCCCAGTTCACGTGAGAGATGAGAAACTGACTGTTTCTCAAACATGGCTCAGACATCTATAGGGACCTAGTTTGGGAAGCTTATCCTGTCATTTTTCTTGCCAAGGATAAGTAGAGGATTTCAGCT